CCTTGGTGGAACTCCATTGACTAACTCCTATTATATTGAAGATTCATCGTTACATGTACAAACTGCGAACAATCTGATAAATATGACTAAACCAGCTTATGCGGTCCTTTAATGCCAATTTGTATGCTCAAGTCTTCTGTAAAGAATATTATGGTCAATGGTTCAAATGCAGCACTAGATCTAATTAATACAAGTACAGAGACAAACTCTCAAAACCACTTTAATCTGTCACCTTGTTTTTCTCTTCATACTCTTTACACCACACACACACTTCTTTCCTCCGTCTGTGGTCTCTCTCACAATCCAACGCTGCCCACCCTGCCTGTTTCTCTGTCCCTGTAGCCGATGTGTCTCTGTTGACTTTCTTCAGCCACTATTTAGTATAAAGTCCCCAAGACACAACCTCGGGTTTGGGATTTTTTCACTTACGTTCTTTTTTAATTAGGGACGCACAATAATTATCAGGACAATATTCCTGATCGGTTTGATATTCATAAATTATTATTTTCTTAATAATAATTCTTATGCAAAACCATTGAAGACTATCTTCTTATGAAGCCGAAGTATGTTTCGAAGTTTTCTTATGAATTTTACTTAGAAAATCTAACATGAAATCTGAAGAGCAGAACTTTTTTTTCCTTTCCAAGATTTGTTTAGCTCAGAGCTATAGAATATAATCATCCATCTTTGCTCATTAACAGTGTATCCTCTTACCCCCAGGTATGTAAAACTACAGGGGTATGAACTTCTTTTTAAAATACAAAAATGCAAATTATTGTTATCTTATCAGTATCGGCCATGGAGAAGCAGTAATTTTAGTTATCGTATCGGACTGAAAAGAAATCCATATCATACATTCCTTGTTTTAACAAACGCAGGAGGAGGCGTATCTCTCTTCCGAGCCGGGTCGTAACAAAAATCCAAAATCATTTTACTAACATATCCCTTCTCACAGTGAAAGAACACACTTAAACCAGACAGTCTGTATCTTTGTGACAGTCTTCCACACTCTGTACTTGAATGCACTGAGGGGACTGAAGCCTAGCTGGTGAAGTCTCCTTTATCTACCCATTAGATCAGAGCTTCTTCAGCTTAAGGCTGCTGTTGGCTTGTTACCACAGAGACAAAATGTTAACACTAATTGGGTCTGGAGCAAAGTGGCACATGTTAATTATCGTTGTTGTAAGAATAAGGTTATAAAGTTCCCTGACTCAGTCTTCCCTCCCTTCTTACTCTTCTCTGAGGAAAACAGTCTCTTGTTCTTTAGTTCAGCCTCAAAGCACTCTCCTCCCCCCGCCTATCATCAGATAAGAAACATAATTCTAACGCATAAGCAACTGGAGCAAATATAAAATCTCTCTATCTCTCTCTCTCACTCTCACTCTCTCACTCTCATATATATATTGTTTTCCAAGTCATTATTTCCTGTTCGTGGTGCATCAAGGGCATGTTTGCTTCCCAAGGATTAAAAGTTCCAACACTTTAAGACCTTGTAAAGATGATAAAATTCAATGTTATGAAAAGGCAAAGTTGCTTCTAAAACTGTTTTTTAATACCCCAGATGATGTTTCATATTTATTGATTTACACAGTGCCATTTCTGGACATCAGAGAGCTGAAAAGTGCTCCTTTAAATTGCCTGTTGACGGACACGATGTTCACTATGAACACACGCTGAGGTGGCACAGCTTTCAGCTGCATTAACACAGAGATTAGCATGTGCTGTCCTCAGCGTACGCCAGCGGGAGCATTTGCTACAGCGTGCACAGCAGACACTCCCCCTGCTGCAGCGGAGGCTTCAGATGTACTGTAAGGGGGTCTTTATGTATTGGAACTGTATGTACACTTACATGTGCTCAAGTCCGACGACTATAAGCTGCTTTGCTTCTCACCTGTGTGCTGCTCTTAATGCTGTGGGTCCACACACACACACACAC